AAATATCAGTATCTGATCCAGTGCAAATTTAAGATGTGTAGACTTCAGCTTCCAGAATTCTCCAGCCAGCAAAAGCTTACTCGAGTATATGAGGCATAATCCTCAATGTAGTGTCCACCAGAAGAATTGACTTTATCCCCCATTATATTCAACAGAATGGCCATAGAGATGGATGTTGCATCTAGTAGATCTGGAGGGCACTACATTGGGAGCAAGCTGTGGAAGACAGCAGTCAGAGGGACACACTATGACTTCCACAGTATTATCTTTGACAGGGTCTCTCACATGACCACAGGGGGTATTAAAAGAAAGGTCAAGATGCCCCGCCTCTTTTTAATATGCATTGCACTTGCAAAGCATATCAAAGGACGTGATCTTTGACGACCTTTTGACTCCCCTACAGGAGCCCCTGGATCCATCCTCATTTTAGTACAGTATAGTAGAGGAGACAAGAGAGAGGAAGGGAAATTATTTTTACTAGAACACTTATTCCTCTAAAGTGTTTAGGGTCCACATAGGCACAAACATCAATTGGCAGTAAAGAATTAATATATTTTGCTATCTCTTACTGTTCATCTCTATTTTTGAACAATTGCATGCCCTAGTTAGGTATTAGTGCTGCTAAATGTATAGATCATTTAGTTTATCAATTAAGAATGATATTAAGATGTCTTGATTGGCCTACCTAATCATATGTTTATTGAGAATGTACTTATACCTATTTGAATAAAAAACCCGATATCAAATGTCTAATAATTGCTAGCTATATGAGGACTTTTAATGCTAGATTTGCAGGACATTCCTGTGGAGCTCTTTATATCAGAGGCAAGCAACTCTTTGGCATGGAGGCACTGGACAGTTCTTATTTCAATGGTTAAGGTCACAGGAAATAGGACAGTGACTCGCTGGATGAAGTGATGCCCCATTTTGTACCCCCCCCGTGTGTGTGTGGTGTTATATGTTGAATTTTTTAGAGTGTAAGACCCTATATAAATGGTATCCCTCTTTCAGGGAATCAGATGAGAAAGAAAACTGTTTTATAAGTTCCACATTAATGGCAGAACATCTAATTGTGAGTCTAGGAAGCCTTGTGTTGGACACTGCAATTTAGAGAACCTCATTCATAAATTCTGAGCTCAGTTCTTTCAACCTTCCAGTCTAGACAAGCCTAGCATTTAGAACTAGCATTTTCTTATTTGCTCTGGCAAATAAGAAAATTTGCCAGAGCAAATGTGGGATAGTAGTTAAGAGTGTTAGACTAGACTTGAGGCGACCAGATTTCAGAGTTCACTCAGCCAGGAAGTTCTTTGAATAACCACAGGCTATTTATTATAGTTTGGCTATAATAGTTTCTTTTGAAGTAATGAAAAGAAGTATATAGTTAATTATGTTTCTCATAAATTATCTTAGGTAAACTCCACATACTGCAACATTATTGGGCATGTCTGTGCTACTCAACTTTTTACAGAAAGATATAGCACTTTGGACAATTAAAATTCACCCATATACAGGTAGTCCTCGACTTACGCCCAAAATTGGGACCAGAATTTTCATTGCTAACTACTAAACAAGACAGATGAGTTGCAACCACTTTTATGGGTAAATTTTTACAAATTTCTACAACCTTTTTTGCCATGGTTGTTAAATGAATCACTGTAGTTGTTAAGCGAATCACATGGTCATTAAGCAAATGTGGCTCCCCCCATTGATTTCGCTTGCTGGAAGCCAGCTGAAAAGGTTCCAAATGGTGATCATATGATCCTGAGGCTTAACACTGCATGCAGTTTTCTTGATGGAGTTTCAAAAGTGGTTTGTGATCACCTTCTTCTGGGGCATGTCTTCAGTCTTACGGTCTAACCTACAGCCCTGGTTCTGTCTAACGCTCTCCCATCCAAATAACCAACCAGACCTAATCTTTTTCAAGTTTTCTGCCTACCTGAGATTGGCTCTATCTTTTGCTTACTGTGTTATTTTTCTGCTTGCATGGAATTCTTAATATAAAAAGGTAAAAGTTCCCCTCACAGTTACAGTATGTGCTAGTCGTTCCCGACTCTAGGGGGCAGTGCTCATCTCTGTTTCAAAGCCGAAGAGCCAGCGCTGTCCGAAGACGTCTCCGTGGTCATGTGGCCGGCATGACTAAACGCCAAAGGCACACCGATCACTGTTATCTTCCCACCAAAGGTGGTCCCTATTTTTTCTACTTGCATTTTTTACGTGCTTTCGAACTGCTTGGTTGGCAGAAGTGGGACAAGTAATGGGAGCTCACCCTGTTATGCAGCACTAGGGATTCGAACCGCTGAACTGCCGACCTTTCGATCGACAAACTCAGTGTCTTAGCCACTGAACCACCGCATCCCTTTTATTCTTAATATAAGGGAGCATTAAAAAGGTAATCTCTCCTGCCTTGAATCCTTTACCTCCTCATTCAGCTGTCTATTCAAATATTCAGAGATCAGGATATTCGGATATCAAGATATTCAGAGGTCAAGTTTCAGAGCTAAGGATATTTCTGCAGTTCAAAGTAAAGAATAGATTAAAATTAAAGAAATCCTGATACTTTTGTAGCCTTTCAAATGTTGTTGAACTACACCTCCTATCAACCCTTTCAATCATCATATTAATTGGGACTACTAGGGGATGTTGTTGGAAAATGTCTACAAGATCTCAGCCTTTTCTTATCAGTTCTACTCAATGCACTATATGGCGCTGGATTAAACTTATTTTCCTACCTAGAGAAGCCAGCATGTCATGTAGATCCTCTTTATCAATGAATCCATCACGGTTTTGGTCAATCATATTAAAAGCCTCCTTGAACTCCTGGATCTGTGATTGGTCGAACATGGCAAAGACATTGGAGGTGGCACGCTGAGGGCGCTTCTTGGTGGTCTTTGCCTTGGCTCGTTTGCTGGACATTTTGCTGGAGTTTTTGTTGGCCTGTGAAACAAAATAGAAATTATTTAAAAAGTAGTCTGAATAAACCTACAAAAAAACCCAAATTTTTCTCATTTCTTGCATCCTTTGGCTTTTCATCTAGGAATCTCTTAAGAGGTTCTCAGTGTTTTGCAATGTAGGCAGCATCTTACATGGCATCACAGCTCCATTGAATTAAATTGGACTTCTTCATAAACCTACGAAGATCTGTGCTAACTCTGGCTCTCTTCACACAATATACTGAGATAGGTTAGAGAAAGATTTAGCAGCTTCATTTACAGAGCACATGAAGCATTGTTAATTCGTTTTTGTCAGCTATGTTTTCTTTTAGACATCATACAAATCCAGCCTGTTTTGTTAGTGGTAAATATATCCTATGAATACAGAAATTGGATTAATTCAGTATTTGGGTTAAGTATGCTGGGTAAAAGGAGTCTTTAGAAAAAATAATTTGTTTTTGGAGAGTTTAAGTCTCCAAAAATTGTGAGATTATTATGTGATATTGGAAAATAAAACTATGGGCTTTTTTTCAATAATATATATATTTCTTAATCAAGAGTAAACATCCTGACCCACTCCAAGTATCTTGCATAACACATCCTGCATCCCTTTGCTGTTGGCCATGCTGAAGTTCAAACATGTGTTACTCATCAGATTGCTACTATCTTTTTTAGATAATTATAAATTTACTCATGTCTCTGGAATATGTTAACACTAAACAAGAAAAAAAAATTCTTTTTCTTCTACAGATTCACAACTGAAAGATATACCTTCTTAGGATATATGTTATAAGATAGCTTTCCCTAATCTAGTACCTTCCCAATATATTTATAGGTAAAATCCATAATCCATTGTCATCCTAATCAAAATGTAGGTTGAAAAGGACTTTATGAAGCCCATTGATTTAAATAACATAGTGATATAGTTACTAATTCACAAAAAATATACCATAATGAAAGTCTAATTATTCTGTAAAATCCTCAACTTATATTGCAGCAAAAATAGTAAATATAGTTTTCCACCTGGAATTTTTTTCTATGTATCTGCTCTAATATTTAGATATTTGAGATCTTGGAGAACATTTGACACCTAGTACTGATATTTACTGTATTGGCAAAAATAACATTCTGAATTTCCCAACTGAATTATCCCAAACAGCACTGAAGGTTATAATTTAATTAGCTTTTCATATCATGAACAGTGTTGAAATCAGTAATCTGTTTCTAAGTTTCTACAGCCTAATACAGATAACATCCTGGTGAAAGGAGGAAGCTGATGCCACCCCCACTCCCTAATCTGCAGTCCCTGAAAGCAGCTTGTATTACAGGTTCTAAATCATCTGAATTTTAAGTCACTTTTCCGTTTGTAGACGGATGTAAGATTGAGAGAAGTAAAACACAAAATAATTAAACAGGTTTATATTATGGAGTTCCAAGGGCTGCAGTTCCTTGGCCAGCATAGATGCTCTAAACTGAGATTGAGAAAATCTGCTTGCTTTCCTCCTTCTGAAAGCCTCGCCTCCATTTGAACTAATCTCAGGCTTCTTCTGATTTTCTAGTGCTCTACAAGCTCCGAAGGAAGGCCCTGTCTCTTGTAGCTCAGCTCAGAAATAAGAGGAAATGAGTTATCTGTTTGGAGCAGATTCCAAGCATTCCATTTGCTTCTCTCTTACACCCTTTGTCTAGCCTGGCATGCGGATCTGTGCTATTTCTTTGAACTACCCCTACAGCTTGTGAATAAGGATTACAAGCACCCAGTTCATCAAGCAAAGGGGAAGCCTGAAGACAGGGTTATTATTTTTATTTATTTATTTATTTTGTCAAGCATATATAAGATAACAGGTAAAAGAATAAACATAATTTGAATACATGAAAAGAGTAAATAAAAAGAAATATGACAGGGATGGTAGGCACGCTGGTGCACTTATGCACGCCCCTTACAGACCTCTTAGGAATGGGATGAGGTCAACAGTAGACAGTTTAAGGTTAAAGTTTTGGGGGTTTGGAGAAGAAACTACCGAGTCAGGTAGTTCATTCCAGGCATTGACCACTCTGTTACTGAAGTCATATTTTCTGCAATCGATTTTGGAGCGGTTTACCTTGAGTTTGACTCTATTATTTGCTCGTGTATTGTTGTGGTTGAAGCTGAAGTATTCATTGAAAGGTAGGACATCGTGGCAGATAATTATAAAATTATCTAAGTACTATGCTTAGGTCAGACCAAAGTCAGCGTAGTTCTAAGTTATCTAAGCCCAAAATTTGAAGTCTGGTGGTATAAAGTACTTTATTGCGGATAGAGGAATGGAGGACTCTTCTCGTAAAATATCTCTCGACTCTCTCAATTGTATTTATGTCCGATATGCAGTGCTGGTTCCAGACAGATGAGCTGTATTCAAGAATTGGTCTAACAAATGTTTTTATATGCTCTAGTTAGTAGTACAATATTACCAGAGAAGAAGCTACGCAAGATTAGGTTAACAACTCTTAATGCCTTTTTGGCAATGTTGTTACAGTGGGCTCTGGCACTTAGATCTTTAGAAATGAGTACTCCAAGGTCCTTGATAGAGTCAGGGTCATCTACAAGGTTTTACATTAGGAGGGTATCCCTACAGTCCCCTTTTTACAGAGGAGAAGGAGTTGAAGAAAGCAGGTGTCTTGAACCATTAATACCTGGTTATAATTTTCTTCACTATGAAAGGAAGGGCTGGATTTTGGTTGAATGAAGTCATTAGTCCTAGATTTGTGACACTCCAGTGGTGAAATCCAAATATTTTTACTACCGGTTCTGTGGACGTGGCTTGGTGGGCATGGTGTGGCTTGGTGGGTGTGGCTTGGTGGGCGTGGCAGGGGAAGGATACTGCAAAATCCCCATTCCCTCCCCACTCTGTGGCCAGCCAGAGGTGATATTTGCGGTTCTCCGAACTGCTCAAAATTTCTGCTACTGGTTCTCCAGAACCTGTCAGAACCTGCTGGATTTCACCCCTGTGACACTCCTAAATTAACTCTTTTTGTTCTTGGTTTTAAGGACAGCCAAACATTTCTCTCTTACAAAATAAAAAGAAATGACTAAAAAGGAAAAGAAATCCCTTTAAATGTGTCAGTGAAATATATCAAAAGACTGGATACAGAAGCATCCATGGAGTAGGTTCAGAAAAAGTCAAAGTGCTCTGTACAGCCATGCAAACTCCCACCCCATTTTTATGTGTCTTGTGAACACCATCTTGACTTTTTATAGCTCTTTCTGCAGACCCCTTGACTGAAGGAAAAAGCAGGGTCTGCCCTGGGTGACAACAGCATGAATGGGATGCAAAAGACGGAACAACAAACAAACAACAGAGTAAAGTGAGTAAAACTCCAGTGATTCCAATCATCCTGACTAGGTGGCTCAGTAGCTAAGACGCTGAGCTTGTCGATCAGAAAGGTTGGTGGTTCGAATCCCTAGTACAGGTCTCCTGCGTGAGCAGGGGGTTGGACTAGATGACCTCCAAGGTTCCTTCCAACTCTGTTACTGTTACTATCATTCTCTAAGAAAGCCCACTTCACACTTTTGAAGACAGACACATACCCTTACATATCAATTTGGTAACCAATCAACATAAAAGAAACGTTTCAAAGCAAACCCAACCCATTCATCTCTTACTAAGGTCCCCTGGTTTATTTATTTATGAGTTATACGATCTATTTATATGCCTGTTACCTTTAGTGAGTAGACACGCAATATTGTGGATTTAACTTAAATAAACAGCATACAAAACCATAACTGCAAATGTGACTCTTGACAATTCTGATCTGCTAAGTTAGTCCAGGTAAGCAAAATGATTATATTTGCCACTTCATGGGACAAAGGCTAAGAAATGACGAATTTTATTTACAAATGAAAGATTGAGCCTTCCTTGAGTTGAACTTGATTCCTGATCAGGGGTGGGTTCTACTTACCTTTACTACTGGTTCGCAACAGGATCGTGCACGCACACTCACTTTGCTCATGCCCGCGCCTTGCTTCTGCGCATGCGCAGATCACTTCTGATGACATCAGGGTCAGTGGGCGGAGCCTCCCGCAGGTTTTACTACCGGTTCTATAGAACCGGTCCGAACTGGGGGCAACCCACCACTGTTCCTGATAAATGTAGAAACATGTTGGCTGAAGGGTGTTCTTTTTCTTTTTCTGAAATATTTTATTTAACTTCTCAGTCTAGTCAATAACGGTGGGATTTCTTGGTTGTCTCCTGTGAAAGTATAAACCAGGTCCACTTTCCTAAGCTTCTTTCTCCAAGATCAGCCATGTGTTGTCATCTGAGGAGAATTTTTATAGCACGTTAACGATAACATAAATGATAATTACCACCATCTGGAACTGAAAGTGGAAAGTGGAAAGCCAAATGTATCTGACTTGATTTTTTAAATGCCATGGGTGTTTTCATTACCCATTAACCATGTTTCTTGCACTTAGAGATGTAAAAGTATTTGCAAAGCACACAACTCATGCTTGAAAAGACTTTCATCATGCTGTCCTTGTACAATGGCATGCTGTTATTTGTTTAAAGCACATTGAAAGGTATCCTACAAAAATCTGTAATTATTCGGCAGTTTTCGTTTTAAGACAGGTCTCCCAAAGCAGAGGGATTAGGGGAAAAAAAGAAGAGAGGAAACAAAATGCAAAGCTGCAAAGAGGTATTAATGAGCAGCTAGAACAGAATTCATTTGAAGAAAAGAAAAGACAGAAATGGTGTACTGTTTTTACAGCCGGTGGATCCCTAAGGGGAGATCTTACTAGCTGATCTGATGAAAATAGCATATTGTAGCATAAAACCAGTGGTGGTATTCATCCGGTACTATCCGGTTCAGGCAAACCGGTAGTGGCAGCTGCAGGACGTCATCCAGGATGCCTGGACGTCATCACGTCCCATTTTTGTCACTCCACACATGCGCGAAAGGCACCGTGCATGCGCGGAGGCGTGTGAGCTCACATTTGCAAACCGGTAGCGAAGGTAAGTGAATACCACCCCTGCATAAGACCCATCTCTTTCTTCATTTATCACATCACAATGTATGCACAAAAAATAACATGGGTTAATGCTACAACAGTGCAGTGTTGCTTTCACGATTCTGAACTGGGGAAATGCGTGTTTGCTTCTGAGCCAGTGGCGCAGCCCTGCCTGGTAAATGGTTGGGCTTCCTATTACGATGGCTGCCTTCTTGACTTTTTGAAGACCCTCCCAATAGACTCTTTTGTCAATATATGAAAAGCAAATAACAATGTGTATTTTCCTCTATGAACATCACTTATTTTAAATATCTGCTTTTCTCTTTGCTAAGTTCTTCTGCCTAATGATGGCATCAGATTCTCACAGTCATCTTTGTTGATTTGAAATCTGGGATATTTTTTGTCTCGGGGTAGAGAGGGACCCAAGACCGGGTGCCTCCTTTCTCTGTTACTTCCTCTTTGAGACCCCTATAGGCGGGCACAACTTTCTCAAGGCTTAATTACTTCTAGGGAGGTTTTTTTTTCTCCTTTTAACTCCTTTACCTGGGTGATAAGAATTTGACCAGGAGTTACCTTTTGAGGGGCTGAACCAAGGCTTAGCAAAGAATTTTAAAACTACACACACCCAAAATATGTAGCCAAGCACTGACTGCAGAGTTCAAAGGCTGGGTTTTAGTGCAGGCCAGGAAAGGCCCCTTTTCTGCAGCCCCAGGAAGACAGGAGGTGAGATGATTAGTTCAAGGCTGGGACACACCTCTGGCTACAAAACAGATAATAGCCTCTTTGTCCTACTGCCTTCAGTGAGAATTTAGAATCATGTAGAATTTAGAGCCGAGGTGGCGCAGTGGTTAGAGTGCAGTACTGCAGTCTAATTCAGCTGACTGCTAACTGCAGTTCAGCAGATTGAATTTCACTGGCTTAAGGTTGATTCATCCTTCCATCAGGGGTGGGTTCTAATTTTTTTTACTACCAGTTCTGTGGGCGTGGCTTATTTTGTGGGTGTGGCTTGGAGGTCATGTGATTAGGTGGCCGTGGCTAGCTGGTCAGAGTCATTTCTGGAAGGTCCTCGCACTTACGATCAGTCCTCGCACTTACGACCCGACTCATTTGTTTGCTTTTAACACTGATCAGCTGTAGGACGACCCTTTGAAGCCCCATGGCAAGAGTTTTAACAGTTTTTTTCCCTCTAGTCATCAGCTGGGACTCAGGAGGCAGCAATAGATTGGGGGTGGGACCAAATAAAAGGTAAGAATAACGTGGGTGGGGTGGGGGGGGGAGAACCGGTTCGGTGATGTCATATCGTCACCGCTACTGGCTCGGCCACACCGGACCGAACCGGGAGGAACCCACCACTGCCTTCCATCCTTCCAAGGTAAGTAAAATTGCCCCCCAGATTGTTGGGGGCAATATGCTGACTCTGTAAACAGCTTAGAGAGGGCTGTAAAAGCACTAGGAAACGGTGTATAAGTCCAAGTGCTATTGCTATTGCTATTGCTATTGCTATCATAAGATTAGAAGGGACCTTGGAGGTCTTGTAGTTGAATCCCCTGGCCAAGGCAGGAGCCTTATACCATCCCAGTCAAATGGTTGTCCTGTCTATTTTTGAAAACTTCCAGTGATGGAGCAGCCACAACCCCAAGAGGCAAGCTATTCCACCAATTAATTGCTCTCACTGTTAGAAAATTTCTCCTTATGTTAAGGTGACCAGACGTCCCGCTTTTGGCGGGACAGTCCCGCTTTTGAGCAATTTGTCCCGCGTCCCGCGGCGTTTTAAAAAAGTCCCGATTTTTCATTCTGCCTCCTGAGTCCCAGCTGATGGCTAGAGGGAAAAAACCTGTTTAAACTCTTGCCGCGGGGCTTCAAAGGGCCGCCCTACGTTGATTAGCTCGGCTTCCCCCTCTCAGCTGTTTTGCGGAGGGCTCTTGCTGCTTGCTAAATTGCTCCAGCAGATTTTTTTTTCTCCTTGTGCAAACCAAGCTCAAAAGGAAACTGAAAGTGAAACAGGCTGTTGGCTTGTTTGGTGCAACATTGGAAAATTAGGCAGCAGAATTCTTTTCTTTTTCCTCACCAAAAAAGGTAGGTACAGACAATGGGAAATTTAGGGCAAAAGAGGAGAGTTCAAGATTTTAAAACACAAAAGAAAAAAAAGCTCTTTTTAACTAGGGAATTGTAATAATTGAGATACTATTGTATACTGTGTTGAAAGCAGAAATGGTTAAGTTGTGGTTTGGAGGAATATATGGGGGAAATTATTTGGTTTATTATTATTGGTAAATATAATTAATTGATTTGTAAGAAATTGGATTGCATGGAAATAATTGGAATATTCATGTTCATATTGATTAATATACAAAAAAGATAGTTATATAACTAATTGATTTATATTAAAATGCTGAATTTGTATTAAACAACTGTATTACATAATTACATAATTAACCAATGTGAGGATGGATATAAAAATAGATGACAATGCGAAGGGGTATAATATAGAATAGAAGGGAAAAATTGAATTTGATTAAGATTAGAGATGAGGATGAAGGGTAATATTGTTTTTTTAAAAAAATAGATGAGGAATAAATATGGCAAAAAGGAAATATAGAAATTGTAAATTTAATTGAAATGACTAAACACTGTTTAAATTTGTGAACCAGCCAAATATTCTGTTCAAAGAAAATACATTGCATGTTTGTATGTGTGTTTCTAATTATTGCTATTTATTCATATTTGTTCTCTTTTGTTCTTTAAAGTTTAACAATTCATTCTTTATCTTAATATCTTTATATTTGTTTGGGATTGGCTTTCTTTCTTTTCATCTTTTTTACTGTACAGCAATCTTTCTCCTCAAACTACCACCTCTCTCTTTTCTTTCCTTCTTACTTTCTCTTCCCCCCACCCTCTTCTTCTCCTCCCTATTTCCTCTTCCTTTCTCCTTCTCCTCCTCTCTTCCTCCCTCTCTTCCCCTCACTCCTACTCTAATTTCCCTTCCTTCATCCCTCTCTATTGCTGTATCCTTTTATGCATATGGACTACTCAGAGGGCTGAAAAAGTTATTTTTGACTGGCCCTTGCACTTTTGACCAGTCCTCGAACTTACGACTGTCCTCACATTTTACTTTTTTGCCCTATCTTGTCACCATGGTGAAGAGAAGCAGTTGTGAAATGAGTGACATGGTTGTTAAGAATGCTGCACGGGCATAAATGTGAAGATGGACATAAGTGTGAGGACCAGTCAAAAGTGCGAGGACCTGTCAGAAATGACTTTTTTCAGCCCTCTGGTTAGTCCTTTTGTGCATATGGACTACTCAGAGGGCTGAAAAAGTTATTTTTGATTGATCCTCGCACTTTTGTCCAGTCCTCAAACTTACGACTGTCCTCACATTTTACATTTTTGCCCTATCTTGTCATCATGGTGAAGAGAAGCAGTTGTGAAATGAGTGACATGGTTGTTAAGAATGCTGCACGGGCATAAATGTGAGGATGGTCATAAGTGTGAGGACCAGTCAAAAGTGCGAGGACCTGTCAGAAATGATTTTTTCAGCCCTCTGGTTAGTCCTTTTGTGCATATGGACTACTCAGAGGGCTGAAAAAGTTATTTTTGACTGGTCCTCACACTTTTGACCAGTCCTCGAACTTACGACTGTCCTCACATTTTACGTTTTTGCCCTATCTTGTCACCATGGTGAAGAGAAGCAGTTGTGAAATGAGTGACATGGTTGTTAAGAATACTGCACGGGCATAAATGTGAGGATGGTCATAAGTGTGAGGACCAGTCAAAAGTGTGAGGACCTGTCAGAAATGACTTTTCAGCCCTCTGAGTAGTCCCTATACACATAGCCATGGCCACCCGGTCACATGACCACCTAGCCACACCCACCCAGTCACATGGCCTCCAAGCCACGCCCACACAATAAGTCACGCCCACAATGGTGTCCTTCTTACCAATGTTAAAATCTGTTCACCTTACCCTATACACATAGCCATGGCCACCCGGTCACATGACCAGGTAGCCACGCCCACCCAGTCACATGACCAGCTAGCCACGCCCACAAAATAAGCCACGCCCACAATGTCCCTCTTTACCAATGTTAAAATCTGGTCACCTTACCTTATGTCTTAGGCTGCATTTTTCTCTGACAAGCTTCCACCCATTACTTCTTGTCCTACCCTCAGGTGTCCTAGAGAATAAGTCAATCCCCTCTTCTCTGCGACAACACTCTTTTCACTTAACAGTAGATTGTTTACTACCGGCCCCATGCCCTGCTTTCCACTTGCTTCCTCAACTGACCAGGGGTGAAATCTACTTACCTTCCTTACCGGTTCGAAAGTGCACGCGCTGCATGTGCGCTTGCTTCTCTCACCCATGCACGTCACATGCGTGCGCAGACCTTCTGCATGCACAGAAGGTAAAAAACACATTACTTCCTGGTTAAAACCAAGAAGTAATGACATCCAGGTGAGTGGGCGGAGCTTTGGTCCACCATCGCTACCTGATCACCGAACCACCGGCCAAGATCGCTACCAGACCGGGCGATCTGGCCCGATCCGGGAACATTTCACCCCTGAAACTGACATTGACTGAAACCAAGACATGATGCTAAATTCTTCCCAGCTTTCTTTACGTACTGTTACTCCAAGCAGCACCCTGTGTTTCATTACAAACAGGCTAGTCTTTCAGAAACATGCATAGTATTATCCCAGGCAGCAGCCATATCTGCAGACTTCCTTTTTGCAGTGTTGTTTGCAGTGCCTTTAATTTCCCAGCACTTGCTGATAATATCCGTGGATTAATAAGCCAGATCAGACAGCATCTGGGCAAGGAATGGCAGTTCAGACATAATTAGAGCTTTTGAACTACAGCTTTCTTGGCTTGTCAACAGTTGGGATAGAGAACCATGTTCTCTTCCTAACACATCTTAAGTTTGCTTAGATACTTTAATAATGGAATACTAAGCTGGGGTGCTACAAAGTAAGCACCAACCTTAAGCACCATCTTTATTTACAAGAATTCCCTGCCTCCCAGAGAGGTGATGTTGAAATACAGAAAAATGGTTGTTGGATGCAGCCCGCTGCTTTGTTTGGAAATATCTACCTGCACGGAAAGCAAAACAAAGGTAAGGTAGATTGTATCCTGGGGTAAGTGAGAGGGAGTGCAAGGAACAACTTATCTTCTAGAAAACAGCTGTTTTATCATTAGTTATAATATGCTCCCTGTGGTAACAATTTGTAATTTGTAGAGCTTCCCTTAAAATGTTCCCCAAATTAGAAGTAGATTGCCTTCCTTGGTTTTTACCATGACCACTAGCGAAAGGAGATTAATTAATTAGACAGTTTGGAACAGCTTGCCTGCTTGATTACTATAACCAGAAATTTGAAGAATTCTGATTTACTAATGTATGATGAATCAAGATGTTCTTAATTTCTTGCAAACAATCTATAAAAAGGTAAAGGTAAAGGTTCCCCTCGCACATATGTGCTAGTCATTCCCGACTCTAGGGCGCGGTGCTCATCTCCGATTCAAAGCCAAAGAGCCAGTGCTGTCCAAAGACGTCTCAGTGGTCATGTAGCCAGCATGACTAAATGCCAAAGGCGCACGGAACGCTGTTACCTTCCCACCAAAGGTGGTCCCTATTTTTCTACTTGCATTTTTACATGCTTTCAAACTGCTAGGTTGGCAGAAGCTGGGACAAGTAACGGGAGCTCACCCCATTACGTGGCATTAGGGATTCAAACCACTGAATTCTCAACCTTTCAATTGACAAGCTCAGCATCTTAGCCACTGAGCCACAGCATCCCTTAAATGATCTATAAGTAAATCCTTATCATAATATCTCTTTTTCTGCAGGGAGGGGATCCTTCGGTCAGTAGAATGAAACACTGAATTGTTCAGTACTCTGAGGTTGGCCTGGAAACAAGATTTGAATCCATTGATTTTAAAGTAATCGATTTTAAAGTAAAATAATGTAAAATAATGCTTTGGCTGAAACCCAACAATATGCTATGTAAGCACATACAGCATTTCAATTTCACTTGATATATTTTATGATGTGTTCTTGGCTATGCCACAGATATTTTTTCAGTCAAATGGGGATTATATAACTTGTATGCCGACAAAAGAATTCATATGTGTGTGCGTGCACACACACACACAGTGAAAATAAAGGAATAATCACAAAAAAATGTTTAGGTTGCTTCTTTGTTAATATGACAATATCTTAGCATATAATGAATGCTGATAATGAAACAGTAAAAATAAGTATAACATGGTTAAGGCCATTGCAAATACTTAAACTGTGCTTACCAAGATGATGAAGAAGATGCAATCTGAACTATTTATTAGGGTTTACTAATTCTCTTTAAGTGACTTTCGCAAGAATTTAATGTTACATTATTCTTAGGTTCTCGTCTATTATTTAGGCTGCATCTTTTACCCCAGGACAAATTCCACTGCTCCCAATGGGGTTTATTTCTAAATAAGCAGTATACTTTTAGAAGTAAACATTTAATGCTCCCTGCTGGCGCAAAATTTTGGTTGAGAATTACGGAAATTGAAATCAAATACTACTGAGGACATTATCAAAATAAGGTGATATTTTCTGCTTTCCTAGCTATATTTCTGTTTCTAAAACAAAACAAAGCAAAACAAGCATCAAATATTCTTTCCTGAAAATTTCTTGGCAGAAGTTTTAAAATTAAAAACCGACTGGATGTAGAAAAGCAAAAGTTAAGAAATTCCTATAATATCATACGGTCTACAGAATCAAAGTTTGCTTGAAAATTTAGAAAGAAGGAAATTGCCATACATCAGCTTTTTTTCTCTGTTTAAATACTTCCTAACCAGCAAAATGACTTAAACCATGTTTTAGCTAGTACAAGTGCAAATTCAACTGCATTAGTTATGTACAAAGTGGCATTTTCATCAGGATTGTCCTGATGTGAAGTATGTGTGTATGTGTGTGGTGTGAATCCAATTGGAATGCTGTTTAAAACATGGATTCCATGGGTTGTGCATAAGATTAGATGCTAAATCTGGAACAGCAAAGAATGCCATGCTCTTTAATAATCTTAGGAATTTGGCTAATTGCTTTTGTGGCTAAGATAAAAAATAAAACAATGGCAAATGTCATACTACAGTGGAACCCTGGGACTTTGGTTTATATCTCAGAGTAGATAAAGAGCCTTGATTGTCATAGATGGATCCATTCAACCCAGACAATTAAAGGGAAATTAGCCTGTTGTTGTTTTACTTTTGTTTCCTTTGAACTAGCCCTGTCTTTACAGCTACTGGTAGCAGTTTCAGTGCTGCAAATATATCACTAAGGGTCAATGCTTTGCAATCAAGTTGATTTTTGCTTTTTGACATGAAAAATATTCAAGTGATTTGAAAGGAGTTGTGTGTGTGTGTGTGTGTGTGTGTGTGTTTGTTTGTTTGTTGTTGCACACATAGAGTAACAGTAGATTTACTAACATCAACTTGATTGCAGTCATGCATAGCAATGCTTATTTCTGACGCTTGGATTAAGTGTAAGAAAATATTTTCCTGCCAACTGAAGTATTACTTTGGGCTTTTAATTAGAAATGTGTTAAACCAAGCATTTTTAAAAAGTAGTAGCTTTAAAGAGGAAACCATCAAAGGAAAGCAAAGAAGTAACCACTCTCTGCTTGATGATTTTCTTCATTTTTTGACTTCTACGCTAATCTAGTCACACAAAAAGAGTGAAACCTAAAAGCCTCATTGACGCCTTGTTCCCTTCACAGAACAAGGAAGCTTTTAAAGTCTGGTCTGGTCTGAAAAACTCCTGGTTTTCCATACTTTCAGATTTATGGTACCTTCAGTTAACCTATTTGTTATCTGCTTTCTCTTGTTCATTATTTTCTATTAGAACTTTTCTATGAATTATGGAAAGGTTTGGAGGAAACACAGGTGGTTTTCAACTTACAACCATTTGTTTAGTGAGTGTTCAAAGTTACAAAAGCACTGAAAAAAGTGTCTTATGACCATTTTTCCACACTTACGACCATTGCAACATCCCTGTGGTCACATGATCAAAATTTGGCAACTGGCTCGTGTTTATTATGGTTACATTGTCCTGGGGTCGTCACTTTTTGTAACCTTCTGACAAGCAAAGTCAATTCACTTAACAACCATGTTACTAACTTAATAATGGCAGAGATCTACTTAACGACTGTGGCAAGAAAAGTCATAAAATGGGGCAAACTTCAGTTAATAACTGTCTTGCTTAATGAAGACATTTTGGGTTCAGTTGTGGTTATAAGTTAAGGACTACCTGTAACCTATAAGTTCACCAAGCATGTCCAAGTAAGCTACCTACTTCTCCCCTTTTAACTGGCCTTGTAAAAGGTAGGAGAGGAGGAAAAGATAAATGACTATTACAAACATGAAATCAACTTTACCCACATGAAGTTTTTTTGTAATATGTTAACAGACCATGGTATTAATTTTACTCATGGAAGTGAGCTTTTCTTTTGTCCTATGAGCAGATTTCTTGTCATTCCTTAATAGCAATGAGATTTTTCCAGCCTGAGCTTCTAATTGACATACCAATTCTTGCTTTCCTCTCTTGTCCTTAAATGGTTGTTAGGACTGCTTGTCTTCACTGCTTGGGGAAGGAACTTGGCACAGTTCAGTGGCCCAACAAATAAAAAGGTTTTTTTCAGTCACAGTTCATGTTTTGATGGCTTCTCAAGTAGCTGCATGTGTGAGAGTACAATCCATCAAATATCCTAGTCACATATGTTCTATTCAATGGAGCTTGTACACGTTGGTTTGTGTACAAACCATAATCTGAGTACCATTCAAGAGTATAGAAGCTAATCTTTAGATAAGTGATATACTACAGCAGCCTTCCCTAAATTGGTTCTCTCCAGGTATAAAATACTGTAATTTCTATGACCCCAAAAGGCCTGAGCATCATGGCCTTTATGTTGTATGTTGAACAGGCCACTTGGTTATTCAATAAATATAGGTAAACAAATCTTAGATCTCTAGATTCCTTAAAACTAACATTTAATTAGTCAAGGATGCTGTCTCTTCACCACAGAGTTCCTTCTCTTTGCCAGTTGTTTACTATACTAATACCCCATATTTACTGTATGTTTTATAGATCAAAAATTTTACTTTCATACACTCCCACATGTGCACACACACAGAGGCATATACATGTACATGCACACACAATCCTCCATTTTATTTGCATTCTGAAAAATGGACAAAGAACTCAGTGTATTAAAAGATTTGTCTCCAGGTTGACATATTTTTTGTTCCGCTCTCTGTTTTAGCTCAGATAAAGAGAGATAGAGTCTCTAAACATCTGTTTTGAGGCTTGCTTGATTCCTGAGTTCAATTAAATAATCCAAGTTCAGAAGATATGCATACTAAAATAATATATTTTTAAAAAGCATTCTTGAATATGTAAAAGAATACATCTCATCACATTCATGAATACGATCATCCATCCATCCTCAACTCTTCCAAGCTATATCCAAGTTTTCTTTTTAAGATAAACATGAAACTGTAAGCATGCTCCCCAAATATTTTTTAATCATCATACCTAGTGCTTACAAGCCAAAAGGAAACTGAATTGATTCTGTATAGCCTAAAAGTAGCCAAGATTGGCAAACATGTGCTATTGATAGCGTAAACAAGTTATCCTGTAGTTCTACATCAGGGGTCTCCAAACTTGGCAACTTTAAGACGTGTGGACTTCAACTCCCAGAATTCCTCAGCCAGCTTTCTACATCATTCTACATCATGTTCTACATCATTGAAATATTTGAAATAGTTTCTACTTAAGTTTGCATTTAATCAGTTTTGAGGAGAAAAGGTACCAGATACACACACAGAAGATGCTTCTATGATCAGCAGAATGAAGCACTCTGCAGGTCAAGCTGGCAGCACCATCCCATACATATGATCTGAAACTACATCTTACAGAGTTCGGTATGTGCACACAACTATTTCAGCCTGAATGATGCTTTAGGACATGATGCCTATAAACTATGCTCCTGAATCTACCGTTGTCTAGATGTTTCCTCTTTCCAAACTGCAGAAAAAGATACATTTTCATCTAATCTGCTTTGGTTACTCAATTTGGGTAATGGCAAAGAACACTTCAACAATGGAAATGATTGGAGGCTTCCCCGATGGAATGTATTCAGTTAAAGGTTAAGCAACCCCTGAGTAGGGATGTTGTAGTTCTGGATTTCAAGATGCAGATCAGCAATGGAAGTAACTAGAAAGCATTCGATTTGGATTGGATGGCTTTCAAATTTAATACAAATTGGTAGAATATTTGTTGCTCTGGTCCCCACACATTAGTACAGATCATACATCTTTAGCCAGAAGAATTTTTTCTTCCAAGATTAAGGAGCTGCAGTATCATGTTTAAGGACACCAAATACACTTCTCAATAAACAAGTGTATCCCACACTATTTGCAGTGGGATATTTCCCTTCATCCTTGCAATCCTGATTCAAATTCCACTTCTAAGAACACAGTTAAGAATAGCTAGTAGTTCATGTATTAACCTTAATGTGATTTGTTTGATTTTGGATTAACCTGTATATGAATCTGACTGCTGAGGTTTGTAAACTGTAGTTTGTATCCTACTGTAATATGTGGATCCAGACAATGATATTTTGTTTAGCAAATTATAGTTTCATGTGTGAACTTGTAAGGACCAATATCACCTATCCCCAACCTAGTGCATTCCAGATATGAGGGTTTCTACAGCTTCCAACATACTATATTTGAAGGTATCACACTGGAAAAGTCTGACAGAGATGGACCAGAGCTATGATTCACTATGAACCTAATAACCTCCTGTATGCGAGTACTCCTTATGGCACATTATGCATGACGTGAGCCACAAATTAGCCAACCACATTCTAGCTTAGCATGTTCTACATACAGAAGCCTTGGTAGGTGAGTACAGCATGCAAACCCAGAAAACTCAGTTGAATAAAAACATAGTTAAGAACTGCTGGTAAGCACAACTAATCGAGGGAGTACAACAGGTCCCAAAAGGACAGCCTTACTGCTAGTTTGTTGCAGAAGAAAAACCATTAATTTTGGGTTATGAAATACGATGCAGTAGCCAAGCGATCTAGTATAACAGGAAGCTACCAGCCC